ACAACACAGCAATCAGGTGTATGATATAGTGGAGTGGTTTAGACAAGTTGTAACAAATGTTGAGTCTGAGAACTCAGGGATAAGTCAGAGGTTAGCACCTCACTGACTTTTCAGAAACAAGGAGTAACAACATCAATGCTTGGAAGCTTGGAAAAGACGTGGAAGTATGTGATAGTCGATTTACTGTATTGTCTGCTTGCCCTTTCTTAAGGAAAGGGCAATCCTATTTATGCTAAAGGAGTGTAGTTCTCTCATTTTCCAAGACTTTCCATGACTAACCAGGCTTGGTAACTGTAGTCGACATAAGAGAATCCCATAGAACCATCTCCTAGGTTCCTAGCCTATAGGAAGTGAAAGGAGGTCCAAGGTCAGAGTACCCCTATAGACAAATTATGTCATAACTTAACCAATCTTGTGGGTAACTAAGGAGCGATGTCATGTAATGAATCATAGAGGGTTGTAGAGATATGCTATGTGGTCATATCGGCCCAGTAACTAAGGAGCAATGACGTGTAATGAATCATAGAGGGTTGTAGCAACCGTTGAGTAGTATTGCTCTTGTTGTTGGTGTGATAAGCCAAAATATGTATAGTGACTTGTAGGTTTGAGGAGGAGATTTCCAAGTTTGCTCTTGAGTTTGATAGCAAACTGAGTGCAACGAATGTCAGTATGACAAGTTTGCAGAGCGTGGCATATACCCAATTGAGTGGCCACCCTATTCCTGACTTTAATCCAATTGAGCGAGTATGGCACTATATGAAGAACTATCTTCAGGATAATTATCCTGAAGTTATGTCTTATGACCGGCTCCGGGTAGCTGTGAAGGCAGCATGGGAGTCTATTACACCTATAGTGCTTAATGAGCTTATGGACAGTATGCCTACACGTATGCAAGCAGTAATTGACGCAAATGGACTGTACACAGTACTAGATTTCCTACTCTATTTCCTAGCTATCTACTGTACTTTTTAAAATATAATTCCATTTGACGCGATGAACGCGTATGGTACTTCGACCGAATTGCCAAGTGTTGCGAGTGGGGGGCCCCACCTACAAAACCTCCAGACTATACCTCCGTACAGTCCTAAGTCCTAAATAGGAAGTAGTGGAGCTCGGGGTTGCAAGGTTTGTACAGGGATTATGGCACTGAATTCTCATATTTCTATACTAACTACATACGGGGGTGTTGAACAGTCTGTTCAACAGCTGCTAAAACGCTCTATTGTGAGTTTCAAAAATGCGACAACGGTCTACACGGATTTCTTCTGCAACTTCTCGTAGTATCTGGTGACTAGGTGCATACCTACCATTAGTAAGCTCTTTAATCCACTTTAAAAGGGTTTCCTCTTGAGTTTTTGATAAGAGTTGTTATTGTTGTCGCGCTTCTCTTCGTGAGGGTTGACCTTTAATACGTTGGACTACTGTATATGGCCGAAGGTGTAATGCCTTTGCAGCTGCGTACGATGACTTATACAAGCCTGATTTAACTCCAGCAACTGCTTCTGATAATAGAACTTCAAGTTCTTGAGCTTTTATACTATTTTGGCGCACCATGTTGAAGGTTGATGGTGTTGTTGATGGGTGGGCTCCCCCCACTATGCCGCTTACGCCATTATGCCGCTTACGCGCTTACGCCATGACCTACCTTATGCTTTGCACCCGTATATATAGGGGCTTCGCCCCCGGTAGTTTCTCAATCAAGTGGTCAAACTCCAAATATGTGCTCAACAGATAGCCGAGCTACCTTTAAGAGCGGTCCAGACCAGCGTGCGATATCAGACAACTTCAATTCAATTGTGCACAATTGACGACGTCTACTGGGCTCCCACACCATGTCGACCAGATCAGGCAAGACGCCAAAGTGCAAGAAGGCCAATAGCACCAGCTCCGCCATGACCGAACATACGGATAAAAGCCGCTGGCGTATGTTGGATGACGATGGACGACAGACATGGCATTACCTGGAGGACGACAAGGAGGCCGAAGCCTGGACCCAATCGTTCGCCGACAAGTACTACATTGGCCTACCACTTGTGCGTACCCCATTTCCCCCATTTTCCACCACTCTTAAGCTATTCTTCAGCTACTAACAGCTCCCAGGACGCCCCCGAACTGCCCAAAGCCAATACCCCCCTCGAAGCCGTCAACAACGGCCTCGAATTCTTTGAGAAGCTGCAGCAACCCCCCGGAAACTGGGCCTGCGAGTACGGCGGGCCGCTCTTCCTCATGACGGGCATCATCATCGCCTGGACCATCACCGACACCCCTATCCCCGAGGCCCACAAGATCGAGATGCGCAACTACATTTTCGCACGCGCACATCCTGAGGACGGCGGCTGGGGACTGCACCTCGAGAGCGACAGCACCGTCTTCGGGACCTGCCTGAACTACCTCAACATCCGCCTTCTGGGCGTCCCCGCCGACGACCCGCGCGCAGCTAAGGCCAGAGCCACACTACACAAGCTCGGAGGCGCGCAGCGGAGCCCCCACTGGGCGAAATTCTGGATGAGCTTGCTAGGCATCGCGCACTGGGACCTTGTCAACCCCATCCCCCCCGAGTTCTGGCTCCTGCCCAACTGGGTGCCCGTCCACCCGTGGCGCTGGTGGATCCACATGCGCCAAGTCTTCCTTCCCAGCGGCTACATCTACTCCAAGCGATGGACATACCCCGAGACGCCCCTGATCCGCGAGCTGCAGCAGGAGATGTTCACCGAACCCTACGAGACCATGCACTGGAAAGGGCACCGCAACTCGATCGCCCCCATGGACAACTTCCACCCCAAGACCTGGATCCTCAACCTGATTAACTGGATCCTCGTGAACATCTGGTTCGCCTTCCTGCGCCCCAACTGGCTCAAGACCTGGGGCGAATCCCAGGCCTTCAAGCTCATCGAGATGGAAGACGCCAACACGGACTTCGCCGACCTCGCCCCCGTCTCCGCGCCCATGAACACAATCGCCTGCTTCATCGAGCACGGCCCCGCCCACCACTCCGTCACCCGCCACATCGAGCGCCTCCAGGACTACCTCTGGGTCAAGTCCGAAGGCATGCTAGTCAACGGCACCAACGGCGTGCAGAACTGGGACACCGCCTTCGCCATCCAAGCCGTCGTCGACTCCGGGCTCGCCACAGAAGAGCGCTGGCGCCCTATGCTCACCAAAGCCCTGCACTACCTCGAAGGGCAGCAGATTCGCGAGGATGTACCGGAACAGGCTGCATGTTACCGCCAGCAACGCAAGGGCGGGTGGGCCTTCTCCAACAAGGACCAAGGGTACGTAGTATCTGACTGCATCGCCGAAGCCCTGAAAGCCGTAATCATGCTCCAGCACACCCCCGGCTTCCCAACCCTCCTCGAAGACCAGCGCATCTTCGACGCAATCGACACCCTCCTCACCTTGCAAAACACCTCCGGCGGCTGCGCCTCCTACGAGCCGCAACGGGGGTCAGAGCTCCTGGAGCTCCTCAACGCCGCAGAGGTGTTTGGTCGGATAATGGTCGAGTACGATTACACCGAGTGCACCACCGCCGTCGTGACCGCCCTCTCTTTATTCTCTTCGCACTGGCCTGATTATAGGGCTAAGGAGATCGCAACGGCGAAGGCGAGGATGGTGCAGTGGATCAAGACTAACCAGGGCGCGGACGGGAGCTGGTACGGTAGCTGGGCTATCTGTTTTACGTACGCTACTATGTTTGCCTTGGAGAGTCTGGAGGCAACCGGAGAAATCTACGCCAATTCCGGCCCCTCAAAACGCGGCTGCGATTTCCTCGTCTCCCACCAGCGACCGGATGGCGGGTGGTCGGAGAGTTATCGCGGGTGCGAGACGATGGTCTACACCGAGCACCCGTCCGGTTCTCTCGTCGTGCAAACAGCATGGGCGGTGTTGGGGTTGATGTACGCCGAATACCCTGACCGTTCTGTGATTGAACGCGGAGTGAGGTTTATCATGTCCCGCCAGCAGGCGAATGGGGAGTGGCTCCAGGAGGCGATTGAGGGGGTGTTTAATAAGAGTGCGATGATTAGTTATCCGAATTATAAGTTTACGTTTGTGATGATGGCGGTGGGGAGGTGGGGGAGGTTGGAGAGGGAGCGGGGGAAGGTTGCGGGAAAGAAGGTGATTAGGGGGGCAACGAAGAGGAGGGGGGGGGGGGAAGAGGAATGGGGAAAGGAAAAAGGGGAAATGAGGAGGGGAGGGGACGGAAGAAATGGAAGAAGCTCTCCTTGGCGCGATCTCAATGGGGTACTAATTAACTCCAGCTCTATATGGTGTTCTAATACAAACTTAAGGTAGTTGTGAAACTGATTTGTAATAGTAGACTCATCTTAAGGTTTCGTATGCTATAGTCTAATAGGCTTTATAGTAATAAAGTGGAATTATTAAAGCTTAATCTAGCTCCCTAATAGCAGAGCCTATAGGCGTACGCTCTGTAGCTAGCAGACTAACATCATATTTCTAGTAGCTCTAAGCCATAGGTAATACTGCCTAAGAGTCCACTTCTTAAGGGCCTCTAACTTTCATGAAATGAATTGTATAGGATTATAATACAAATTACTATCTACAACTATGGAAAAGGTTTTGTTGAGGAGTGGCGGTGAACAGACAGACGCACGTAGCAAAACCGCGCATTTCAACCGTTCGCAAAGTTTGGTCAGGACCATTAAGTATTAATCCACCTTAAGCTTGAGATTAGTAGTTAGGTAGGTGACCACTAGCGAATGCCTACTATTGTATGTTTTTGTTTTGTTGTCATTTTTGTCGCCCACCTAGGGTGGATAAGGGGGTGGAAGGGGGTAAGTGGAGGTTAAGAGTATTAAGTGTCCATAGAATAACTTATGTCAAAAGACTAGTAAGATAGTATTGTAGATACAGCACAGTACCATCAAGCAGAAAAAGTGAAGTCTTCAAACTTTCATATTAGATTTCACCAGCCTCGTATCTCTCCCCATCTCCCCATCTCAGATAAAAACAACTCCCTCCCCCCCACATATGTACTCCCCCCATCCACATCCACCTCCACATTACTCCTCCCAGACGCCTCCTGGGCGTATAAATCAACCCACATATATCCATCCCCCTCCCCCACCTTAATCACTATCCTCATCCGGATTCGCCACAAACAGCCTCTGCGCACTCATAGTCATGGTCCTCTCATCCACGCTCCCCCTCCTCCTCAACTCCTCCGGATTCCTCATGCTCTTCTCCCTCGTCACCCCCTCACCCCCAACCTGCTTAAGGAGGCTATTAGTCACCCTCACCGTATCGAGCTCCGCCACCGCATCCCCACGCTCCGCACTACTTCCACTCGCCATGCTCCCTCCGTCCGCGCCGCAACCGCTGCCAGGTGTCCCACCAAGCACACCCCCAGGCGGCACGACAACGAAGTCAAACTCTCCCGCAGAATCCCTCGGCGTAGCCGCCGGCGTCCCCCCGCTCCACCTCGCCCCAGTTCCCGATCCACTCTGCCTCATCCCAAACCCCCTCTTCGAACTCCCCAAACTACTCCTCCCACTCCCCGTCCTCTGATGATGCTGCACGCTCGACACCGCATCCTCACCATCGCTATCCCCCCCTTCCACCTCCGTCGCACTGAGCCTCATCGGCACCCCCCCCACGCCCACCCCAAAGTCTCCCGCCGGCGCATACCCCACCAGCCCCGCCTTGCCATGATGTCTAATCTTCGCCGCGACCCTGCTCCCCCCCGACGCCAACCCGGACTGCGCCGTACTCGTCGTCGTCATCGCGCGCCCCGAGTCGGGGGCGCCAGCGACCTCGAGGTGGGCGCGCGCTTTGGCGGCGCGCTGGGCGGCGAGGTGGCGCGGGTCGAGGTGCTGCGCGCGGTCGCACCAGACGGTGGCTTTTTGCTTGCGGAGGAGGGCGACGTAGCCTTGGTTTTGGGGCGCGGGGAAGGGGCGCGAGGAGGAGGAGGGGGTGCGGTTTACGGTTGGGGAGGTGGCGGTGGTGGAGGGGCTGAAGGAGGAGAAGGTGTGGGTTGAGGGGTGGCGACGGGTGGGGTGGAGGGAGGTCGGTTGGGAGGGGGGGTGTTGTTGCGGGTGTTGCTGTTGGGAGTAGGAGGGTTTTGAGGGGTAGGGAGAGAGGTTGGAGGGGTTGTTGGAGGAGGAGGAGTTGCGGGTACGGCTGTGAGAGTAGGTTGGGGCGAAGGAGGAGTCGGGGGTGGTGCGGCCGGTGGTGTGAGGGTGGAGGTTTGGCATCGGTTTGCGCTGGATGGGGTAGTGGTATGTTGGCTCGGCCATCATGGTGTGTCAGGAGAAAGAGAGAGAGAGAGAGAGAGGTTGAGGGATTGTCGAGGTATTGAGGTTGTCGTCGAGGTGGGATATCGAGACTGCTGTTTTTCGTAGAGGGATTTTTCGAGGGATTTTTCGAGGGGTTTTCGAGGGATTTTTTCAAGGGATTTGTTGAAGGGGCAAGGACGATTCCTTTTTGAGGCGAGCCACCGGTCGGTCGGTGGTGGTGTTGTGGTGTTGTGGTGTTGGTGTTATCGCGAGACGGCGCTGGCGTTGCGGTGCACGAGCGATAATTGGACGTGCTGATAGGCTCTACCGTGGTCTACCGTGGTCTACCGTGGGCAAGTTGGTGCGGCCAGGCCAGGAGCGGCTAGGGTGAGGGTTGTGATGTCGTCGGTATGGGATAGGATGATGCTGTCGTCGTTGACGGCGGTAGTGATGGCGTGTCGGGGGAGTGGCAGCAGTTTGGCAATGGGGGGGTGTTGAGGTGTGTCGCGGTTGGTTGGGGAGGGTGTTGAAGGAGAGAAGAGAAGGCGGAGAATGGAGTGGAAAGGGTAACTTAGTTGTTGACGGAGCCGCCGTGGCCGTCATGTTTTGCTTCGGTGGTAACTCGGTGCTCACCGTAGGGTGGATTTTGTTAGTCCGTTGTTGGTTCGGTATATGTGGGTAGTGGGTACTTTGGACGGTGGAGGATGATGCAGGATCCTCTTTAGTACAAATGGCTTGGTAGGCGTGTCCCAGTGTGTCCCAGTGTGTCCCAGTGTGTCCCAGTGTGTCCCAGTGTGTCCCAGTGTATCTTGGAGTGTCTTTGGGCTGTCCTGATTGCGTATCCTGGGCGTCCCCAGCGTCCTCGGCGTCCCCATCGTCCCCATCCCCAGCGTCCCCGTCCCCATCGTCCCCATCCCCAGCGTCCCCGTCCCCATCCCCATCCCCAGCGTCCCCATCCCCATCCCCAGCGTCCCCATCCCCATCCCCAGCGTCCCCATCCTGGATTGTGCTATCCCTCTGGGTATTGCGTGGCACAGGGAGTATCCGGTACTTCGTGTAGGCATAGTATAGCGGCGGTTATAGTGGTAAGAATCTCACTGATCGGCGAGGATGACGTTGGTTTCTAGCGGCTGATGGACAGATAGACCAGTGGTTGGATTGGGTAGGAGGAGGCTATTCAGCTACTCTGGCGATCGACAACTGAAAGGATCAATTCAGCTCCACGCGCGGCAGGAGCAGGAGAAGTATGTAATCCAATCCCCACCCCTCTCTGCCATCATCCCGCCGCAATATTGAAAAAATAACCAAATAGTCATAGCCCAGCGTAGAGTAGCCCAATACCACCCCCCACCATGGCATTGGCTTTTCCTTTCTTTTTCGTCCATCCCCCATCCCGTCACCCCCAAATCCCCCAATCCAATGCATGCAATGCCCTGATCCAGCGAAGGCACACAAAACCCACCAACAATCCACAAACTCCACTGTTCTCCAAGACGCGCTCGCATCTCAGCTCGTCGCAGGGCTGACTACAGTACCTACGAAGGGTTGTAGAAGTAATATCAGCGTCGATATAGCCTAGCCCCGTGCCTTGCTTTCCCCGGCGGCCGCATGAGGGTTTATACCACATATATCGTCCGTATATATCCCCCTTCCCCTCCCCCTCCCCCTTCCCCGTCACCACCCTACCCTCACGGTAATGTAAAATGTAACCCCTCGATCAATCCCGCACGCCCCTTCGACGCGAGAGGGAAATGACCCCGGATCCGGCCTTGCCCTGGCCATCGCTGTGACCCTAACTTAGCCTACCTACCTGCCGTACCACGACAACAGACGACAGGACAGGATAGGAGAGGAAAGACCGACCCCGCACCGCACCTGCACCTGTAATGCAGTCCCCAGCCTAGCTGAAAAACCAACGCATCATGGTCTAGATATTCGCGATTGGGATTGCTTTGTTGTTCTTCGAGCCACCTCCGAAGCCTCGTACTTGAGTGGTAGAGGAAGTAAGTTAGTTATGTAGATGTAGTTTAATCTTATCTTATCTAATCTTTCCATCTCCCCCCCCCCGCTCTCATCCCAGAAATAATACCATCACGTGATGATAACGATAAAACCTTGCGCAAGGCCATACAAAAAATGTCAATCCAAGCCGCCATAGAAATCCTCCAAACCAAGATACCCTCATACCTCTCAACCTCCTCCCAAACCGCAAAGATGGGACGCGAGCTCCAGAAAAAGAAGAACAGATCCAGCATCCCGAAAGTAAAGCATAAGCCGAAGAGCAAGCGCGTGAATCCGTTGGGGAATGCTATTATCGCTGCGAACTGGTGTGTATTCCTCATTCCCTAATCCCATCTTATTTTATAAATCCCACATCCCACCACCTCGAATTCCCTGCCTCCCTCCTCCCTCCTCCCCCCCTCCGAAACAAAAGTAATAGTTGAACTCGCAACTAACACAACCCCCAGGGACTCCAAACAAACCCTAACCCAAAACTACACCCGCCTTGGCCTCGCCTCCCGCCTCAACGCCGCCACAGGCGGCACCGAGAAGAAGATCTCCGCTACCTCCTCCGCCGGGACCCTCGCCATCACCTCGGCCCTCCCCACCACCATCGTGCCCCAAACAGCACGGGTAGAGCGCGATGAGACCGGGAAGATCGTCAAGGTGATCCATGCGCACACCAAGAAGGCGAACCCGCTCAACGATCCGCTTAACGAGCTCGAGTCCGGGGATGAGGATGAAGATGCTATGGAGGGATTCGAAGGGTTTCAGGACGACAAGGAAGAGCAAAACGAGGTAGTCCGCCAGCTAGAAGAACAAGCCCTCCGCGTCGCGGAGAAGAAGCCGAGGAAGCAGAGTGTTAGGGAGCAGGAGTGGTGTCAGCGACTAATTGAGAAGTGGGGGGAGGATTATAAGAGTATGGTTAAGGATAGGAGGTTAAACCCGATGCAGCAGAATGAGCCGGACATTAGGAGGAGGATTGGGAGGTGGTTGGAGTCTAAAAGTGTGGTTTAGGTATATCTAATGAGTTTTGAAGCAAAAGAAGAAGAAGCGAGGGGTGTGTGTGTGTGAGGAGCTAATGGGGATGTGATAGCTATTGTAGCTCTGGAAATTGTGATTTCCCTCTTCCCTTTCTTTCCCTTGGCCGATTTCTTCTCCTCCCAATAGCGGAATCTCGCCCAGCATATATATCTGCCTGTTCCCTCCCCCCTTTCCTCCCAATACCGGGAACCTCTCTCGCCTAATCATATCCCCTCCTTCTACCCCCCATAAAAACTCCTCTCTCGGCGCGCATACCTAACCCCTTTACACCGCTAATTTTTACAATAAATATCTAAACCCCCCCCAACACCTCAACTCACCCCCCCCTCCTCCCTCCACACCCACCTCTTCTCCGCCTCCTTCCCCCCCTCTCTCCTCGCAAACACCTCAAGGGTATTCTTAATACACCCCTTCGAGCTCTTCGGGAACTGTTTATTCAGCACCTCAATCAATCCAAGCTTACTCAATTCATTCCCCTGCACCGCCTGTTTAAACGCAGGCATCTCGTCGGGGGCGACTAGTTTCTTCGTCCCTGCTCCTCCAGACTTGCCGCCAGAGGAGGAGGAAGAGGAGCCCTTGGAGGTGGATGAGGGCGCGGTGAGTCCGAACATCTTGACGGTCTTCGTGGGGGGGCCGTTCAAGTGTGCGCTTGTCCCTTTCATGGGGTTTAGGGGGAGGCGAGGGGGCTGCATGGAGGGTGGTGGGGCGGGGGGTGCCCAGTAGTGGGTTGCGAAGGGGTCGATGGGGGTTTGGACTTTGATGTTTTCTGCGCGTGGGTTAGATCTGCTTTTCTCCTTGGATCTCAGGGGATAAAAAATGGATGCGGGGAAGGGGGGGTTGGCTTACCATGTATAACCTCCAACGCAAACCCTCGCATCTCGATATTCGGATACCGGCCTTGCTCGTCTTCCCAGCAGAGCCCCGTACTCTTCGGTTCCAAATCACCCAGCAGGACGAGTTTCCGCGCGTTAGCGATCTCGTCATCCGCGTCATCCAGGAAACCATCGAGATCCTCCTCTCCATCCGCATCATCGTCATCCTCGCCCTCAGACCCCAAATCCTCCTCATCCTCCCCCGGCTCCTCCCACTCCGCCTCAGAATCATAATCATAATCCACTCCCGGTAGATCACGCTTAATCGGATTCCTAGCTAGCCTTGCCGCGCCCGACACGGGTTGCTTGGTATACGTCCCGATGTACGGCGGCCGTACGTCCTCGGCGAATTTGAGGATCTTGTAGGAGATGGCCCGGAGGGAGGTGCGGGTGTTCTTGATCTGGGCATTTTGGGAGTCGGTCGTGAGGTCGATGGGTCGGGAGGAGCCGCCAAGGAGGTGTGACATGATTTGTTTGACGGGTACGCAGCGCCTGCCGCGGCGGGTGAAGCAGTTGTGGGGTATGTTGAAGGCTTTGGTCGCATCGAGTTTCGGTGGGCGTTCTGAGGCTTTTGATCCGCTGAGACAGGCATCTAGTTCGTGCTCCAAGATCTGCGTCGCAAACTCGTCCCGTTCAAACCGTAGTATAGGAGCTAGCGTGACGCTGTTCTGCACGAAGAACGCCGGGAATACCTTGTCGTAATCCGAGATCTCGCTGCGCTTATTTGGTGATTTATCGTCTGGTGCCGTACCTGCCGCGTTCCCGGGTTCTGGGCTCACGTCCTTCTCTGCCTTCTTGGCGGGTTGTGATATGAAGAAAGAATTGAGCTTCTTCTGGCTCCTCTCTTTCTTTTTCTTCTCCTCCTCCAGCCTTTGTTTCTCCTCTTCCTTTTTCCTCTTATCTTCCTCCTTGGCCTTCCTCTCCTTCTCCTTCTCCGCCCGCTCCGCGTCCTTCACCAGCTTCTCTGCCTCCTTAATAAGCCTTTTCTCCTCCTTCTCAGCCTCCTTTTTTTGCCGCTCGGCCTCCTTTTCCGCATCCCTCCTCGCCTTATCATGCTCCTTATCCCGCTTCTCTGCCTCCTTCCTCGCGCGCTCGTCCGCCTTCTCGCGGTCCCGGATCTCCTTCAAGATCTTCTTGTGTTCTTGCTCTGCGAACGTAAGCTTCGGCTTCCTCTTTGGCGGTTGGCCCCCGCTGCTCATCATGGAAAAGGCGTTCGGCGGCTGGAGAAGGGGTGAATTCGCTCCAAGGCTCGGGGTTCGTGACGGGGCTTCCGAGATTACTGACTCGGTGTCGCTCCTCGCTGGACTCGACTCTCGGATAAGGTGATGTGCTGCACAAGGTCGAAGGCGTTGTTCGAGTGACATCTTGAGAGGCGGTGATGTTACATTGGTAGAACTATCTTCATGTTGCCGTTTCAATGATCGCGGGGACACTGAGGTGCCGCCCATTGAGGTGTCCATTGTGCCAGCCCTAGCCAAACTCGGGGGGGGGGGGGGAAACAGTTACTCAAGCAAAGTCCAGCATATATGGGTTGATTCGGAATATTGTAAAGTGTAGTGATAGGCGTTGTGATGTCAACAATTGTTTCGGCCAGCGTTGTCTCTGAATGTCGTCTTTTGGGGTGGACACGCGTGAAGGGACGCGATTCTTGCAAGGGAAGTCGCGTAAATTGAACTTCTGTCCCGAATCCACGCTTATCCCAATATGGCAGTAAGCTCCCACCCCTAAGCGTCCGCAAGGCTACTCGTACAGCGAGCGGTGATCATATTCCGTAAACGGTAATTTCATCTTCAGCTATGACGTTAACTATTCCTTCGGAATACTCTCCTCGCGACCTCACACGACATATACCCTTTCTCGTGAGAAGCCCAACCACGGTCTATACATCTACAGGCAATATCTCATGCTGGCGCCTACGACATCTATAATGCCGACGCGACGGCTGACGCGCTTCATCGCCCTCGCCGCCCTCGTGCTCGTCACCATCGCCGTCTTCTACAGCCCCCTCACCCCCCGCCGCCGCTATCAAATCCCCACAAGCCACTCAACCTGGCAAGCCGAGCTCGGTCCCGTCGACAACAAAGCAACCTCATACATCGCTGAAGCCACACCTGCCGAGCTCTGCGCGCCCTACCACTGGGAACCACACACCCCCAAGGACGGCAAGCGCAAGATCTACGACCTCTTCCTCATCAACGATGAGTTAAACTGGCTCGAGATCCGCCTCAACACCCTCAGCAAGCAAGTCGACTACTTCGTCGTCGTCGAGTCCCCCAAGACCTTCACCGGCCTCGACAAGCCCCTCCACCTCAAGGAAAACTGGGACCGCTTCGCCCCCTTCCACTCCCAAATCATCCACCACATGCTCGACTCCGACCTCAACTCCACCAGGGCCTGGGATCACGAAGACCTGCAGCGCAACGCCATGTTCGACCAAGTCATCCCCTTCCTCGAGGGCCCAAAGGCAATCAAACCAGACGACGTCCTCGTCATCTCCGACATCGATGAGATTCCCCGCCCCCTCACCGCAACCCTCCTCCGCACCTGCGCCTTCCCCCGCCGCCTCACCCTCCGCTCAAAATTCTACTACTACTCCTTCCAATGGGAGCACCGCGGCCCGGAGTGGCAGCACCCGCAGGCAACCTTCTACACCGGGGAGACCACGCTGTCACCCTCGAACCTGCGCTCCGGTCGTGGAGGCAACCCGCTGACGCGCATTGGCGAGTCCGCTGATCTCTGGAACGCAGCGTGGCACTGCTCGTCCTGCTTTTCGCACATCTCCACTCTCCTTAACAAACTTGCAAGCTTCTCCCACACAGAGTACAACCAGGAGAAATACCGCGCCAAGGCGGGGATCCTGCGCCGCGTCCGCAATGGCCTCGATCTATTTGATCGCTACTGGCAGACCTACGACCGCGTGGAGCGCAACGTCGATGTGCCCATGTACGTCATGAACAACGTGACGCGTTTTGCGTATCTGCTTGATCGCGACCCGCCGAATGCCAATTTTGAGGATGTGTCGGAGTTGGATTTGTCGGTGCAGGAGATTGGGGAGGCACAGAAGAAGAAGGGGGGCAAGAGGTGAAGAGGCGGAGAGGGGTAGAGAGGAGTATACAGGTGACCTGCCCCAACAGGGGAGAGTCGGTTGACCCAAGAAGACCTCGCTCGGTTAACAAAAAATCGCTCAGTTGACCGTCAACCCAACTAACCAATAAAAACACTCATTAAAAACAACGTAGCAATTTGCACCTATGTGCCTTATGCATCAAGTCAAAATTGCTAAGATATAAGAGCAATTTAGCAACTGTTACTGTCACACTTTTAGCGTGTAACAGGAACATATTTGCTAAGGCGTACCTAATGCTAAGGTGCCTACTCTAGCCCCACGTGCCCAAATAGGAAAGGGGACTGTCACACTATGACAGAGCGATTTCTAGCCTAGTAAATTAGTAGTGTATCGTATGTAGTTAGCTATAATCAACAATTTGAACAACATCCTATGCTTGAAATAGGTGAATACTATATATTACTCTATGATAACTATAGAAGCTGACCCTTATGGCATCTAGCAAACGGCCTAGCTTGCTATGTAGATGGCAAGCTAGGTCTCTAAACTTATTAGAGAGTCTATTAAGTGTTACAATGGTCACAGAGGTCATGATGCTAGTCTAGGTAAAGTAAGCTAGATTGAATCTAAAGAGAGAAGAAGAAGAAAGGAAGGAAGAAGGTAAGGCTATTCCTCATTATATGCAGCTGTGCGATTAGCAATCCCTTGTAACCTTGGTAGCTACTATAGCTGCCTATTCCTATAGTTGCTAGCAGCTATGATGTGCGATTATAATACTACCTCCCCCCTAATTGAGATTAATCTCCTAATAAGGTCATTGTGGCTTCTATAGGTATTTTCAGTAGAAAGCTTATGTTTTATTGAAATTTGCAGCCGAGTACTATCATACTGACATTCGTTGCACTCAGTTTGCTATCAAACTCAAGAGCAAACTTGGAAATCTCCTCCTCAAACCTACAAGTCACTATACATATTTTGGCTTATCACACCAACAACAAGAGCAATACTACTCAACGATTGCTACAACCATCTATGATTCATTACACGTCATCGCTCCTTAGTTACTGGGCCGATATTACCACATAGCATATCTCTACAACCCTCTATGATTCATTACATGACATCACTCATACTACCACATGACATATCTCTACCAACTAGAGGCCTAGGAGCATGAACGATAGCTCTAAAAGCTCCTACGAACCTCTATGATTCATTACATGTCATCGCTCTTTAGTTACCCACAAGATTGGTTAAGTTATGACATAATTTGTCTATAGGGGTACTCTGACCTTGGACCTCCTTTTCACTTCCTATAGGCTAGGAACCCAAGAGATGGTTCTATGGGATTCTCTTACATTCGCTACATGATTAGCAAGCTAGTTGTGGGTCACACTTGATTTCTAATACATTTACCAAGCCTGGTTAGTCATGGAAAGTCATGGAAAATGAGAGAACTACACTCCTTTGGCATAAATAGGATTGCCCTTTCCTTAAGAAAGGGCAAGCAGGCAATACAGTAAATCAAATATCACATACTTCCACGTCTTTTACAAGCTTCCAAGCATTCATCTTGTTACTCCTTGTTTCTGAAAAGTCAGTGAGGTGTTAACCTCTGACTTACCCCTGAGTTCCCAGACTCAACATTTGTTGCAACTTGTCTGAACCACTTCACTACATCACACCCCTGATTGCTGCGTTGTGGAATAGTCTAAGCTACAACCCTTTGGCTCTGTTTCCTAAGACAGTGTGTTGTCTTAGTAAAATCATCCCTTCCTTGGGTGGCTAGATTCTCACATCTGGTGCACCCACCATTACAGGTACTAAGTGTTGTCTAGTAGGTGGTTCTTCCATGCTACTATATAGAATAACTTCTTCTATAGGAGTTTGGAGTTAAGGATTTCTTCAACTTCCCATTTAAGTTCATCCTCTATGATAATTAGAGGCGATGGTTCATGGTGCTGGCCTTGTAGTGCATCATTCAAATCAAGTCTTAACAAGTTGCCATATGATGTATCTTCATACTTGCTAGTAGTTCTAGCTGATATGCCACTTGTCTAATTTGTTCTAGAATCTTAAATGGACCAACTTGCTTATGATCAAGCTTTCTAGATGGCCTCTAGGTTTTGATATTTTGAGTCGATAGCCATACTCTGTCTCTAATTTGATATCTTAGTGAAGCTTTTCTGTTCTAGTTCGCTATAGTCTTCATCTAGGATTAAGAGAGTGCAATTTGATCTTGTAGAAATTCCCAAATATCTTTCATGCTTTAAGCTATGTCCTTGTGTTCTTATGAGGTAGTTTTGAACTTGCTATTCTCTATATTAAAGCTCATTCTTAGCTCAAACCCCTTTTTTACAAAAAATGGACTAACTTTTGTTAAGTCTAATGTAACGCTGACTTCTAAACGATAGAAGACACAGAGGTTCTCTTGCGTAAAGGTTTACTTATCAGAGGAGGCAGGGGATCAGACACAAAGGCTTCAAGTAACACGTTACTAGTATATAACAAATACTGTATTGAGTTGAGCACGAAGCTCCTATCTAAGGAAATACTATCTACTTATATAGTGGCGTCGTGCCTAGTGGACTCTTGGGAACTCACTCGAGTCCTCGGAGTCCTGGACTCTTAGGACTCTTCTCATCATCCTGCGAGTCCATCACGTGCCTAGTGGACTCCTGGGAACTCACTCGAGTCCTCGGAGTCCTGGACTCTTAGGACTCTTCTCATCATCCTGCGAGTCCGTCACGTGATACTTTCGGAACTACTATTCCCCGCTGCCCCTCCAGGTACCAGGGCCGGTCTCGTGCGACCTCCCTCCTTCCTGTCCTGTAGTTGGCCAGCCTTCTTGTTCCGTCGTAACACTCGCTCCCTTCCCCTGGGCATTCGTCTCGAATCCTATAAGTACGTCCATGTCCCCGGGACTCTGCTGCTCCTCAGCGAGTCCTTCAACATGCAACATGCCTACTGACACTGCCCGCAAACTCCAGGAACGCAACGATCTTGTCCGTCGAATAAAGAACCACGGATACGAACTACCCGAAATGGATTCTTGCTCGAACTGCGTGAGGCGAAACATTACTTGCGTGTCGTCTCCAAATGATTCACGGCGGTGCGCCGAGTGCGTTCGTCGCAACTTGAAAGAAAAGTGTGACTGTATGGGTCCTGAGCATCCCGACTGGGTGAAGCTCGAACGGGAGGAGGATCGCCTGGATCGCGAAGAGGAAGAAACCCTTTCGAAGTTACTTCGTCTGCGGAAGCAGAAACGCCTCATCCGAACCCGTGGTAAAGATATGCTCCGACGAGGTTTGAAAACCCTCGACGAGCTTGATGCGGCAGAGGAGGCCGAACGTGTGGCTGCTGAGAAGCGTGACGCTGTTGAGGTCGAGGAACAGGCAGTTAGCGCTGCCTCCTCGTCTGTGACCGGGACCTCCGCTTCCTCCGATCCACTGGCCTACTCCCCTGCATCTTGGGATCAATGGCTGGCGGATGGCGGCGTCGATATTCCTCCAGCAGTTCTTTGCTGATGTTCCTTGTTGGTTCCCACGAATTATCCGTAGGTTCGTAATTTTCCCATTTTATCAAAAACTCTTCTCGACGTCCTACTAACCTTCTGTCTAGGATCGCTTCGACCTCATATTCGATTATCTCATTCTCGGGTTGGAGTTCGGTGTCGGTCGCAATTGGGGTATTTCCTCTTGCTGGTTCCAGTAGTGAGACATGAAATACCGGGTGTAGTCTAGACTTCCTGGGTAGCTGCAGTCTGTAATTAACTGAGCTGACTTTGTTCAATATTTTGAATGGTCCCAATTTCTTGAAGTCCAACTTTGTGCTTGGTCATTTCGTTTTGATATGTTTCCGGAGTAGGTATACTTTATCCCCCTCCTTGAAGGCAGGTTCCATACTGCGCTTCTTGTTTGCGTATGCGGCGGATCGTTCATTTAAGAATTGGATGTCCGTCGCAAGTTGTTCGTGGAACGATTTCAGTTGTTCCACCACGATCAGGGCTTGTTCAGCTCGTGATTCATCCGGTCTTGGTTGCCTATATGCTTCTGGCTGGTAGCCATAATTGGCAAAGAACGGTGAGACTTTCGTTGCTTCTGTCATCGCGCTGTTATATGCAAACTGTGCGATGGGTAAGATCTGAACCCAGTTATCCTGTTGATGATTGACATAGCTTCGCAGGTACTGTTCAAGGGTCTGATTTAATCTTTCTGTTTGGCCGTCTGTCTGGGGATGAAAAGCTGTTGACAGCTTATGATTTGTTCCCAGTAGCGCCATCAATGATTTCCAGAATTTCGAAGTAAAGAGCTTGTCTCTATCTGAGATGATTTCTTCTGGCATCCCATGATCGGCTAATATGACTCGAATGAAGGTATATGCGAGCGCCTCGGCGTCGCTAGCTTCTAGATATGGTATAAACTTCCCATATTTCGTGAGTCTTTCCGTGATGACGAGGATAGAGTCGTATTCTATTCCTGTTAACGGGTCCTTGGAGGGTGGAAGCTTGACGATGAAGTCCAAAGCTATTGATTTCCACGCTCCTTTTGGTACTGGTGTCGACTTGAGTTGTCCGTATGGCAGATGCCTATTGGATTTTGACTTGCTGCAAATGTCGCACTCTCTTACCACTGTCTCTACCTGCTTCCTCATACCTGGGAAGTAGTAGTGTCGAGTGATTCGTTCGAAGGTTCGTGTTACTCCCTGATGACCGTGTGCTGGTAACGAGTGTTGTTCTTGCACCAGCGGGCGTCTCATTTGACTTGGGACATACACTAAGCCTTTGTATCGAATCAATCCTTGTTCGTCGATGGTGAAGTCGCCTTCGACTTTGGACAAGACTCGCTTGGCGCATTCGTCTGTTGCGTAAGCTTTCTTGAGTCTTTCCTCGAGTTCTGTATCTTCGATGACTGAGATCGTCGCTAGTAACTCATTGTACTGTATTCCTGCATCTGTTTTCTTCAGAATTGCTCTAGGTCTTTCTTCCTTTGGGCCGGCGTAGTCGGTCCGTCTGCTGAGAGCGTCTGCTCTTGCATTCTCGGAGCCCTTGCGATAGGTTATCGTGAAGTTGTAGGCTGCGAGGGTTTCTGCCCAGCGGACTTGTCTGCGGTTTAAAACCTTGGTCGTGGTGAAATATATGAGGTTCTTGTGATCCGTCCATACCTGCACAGGGTAGGTGGATCCCTCAAGATATACTCGCCACTGCTCAAAGGCAACGACAATAGCCAGTAGCTCCTTGTCGTGGATGTCGTAATTGAGTTCCGCGGGTGACAGTTTCCTAGAGTAGTACGCGATTGGTTTGAACTTACCGTTCTTGTCTGGTTGATTCAGACATGCTCCAATTGCGAAGTCAGAAGAGTCCGTTTCGAGGATGATCTTCTTTGCAGGGTCAAATGTAGCAAGGATAGGTGCTTCCGTGAACTTCGT